TAAGGTCTTCGGATCTGTGGGACCCGTTTTCAATTTTCATCATTAAAAAAACTATACAAATAAATATTTTTTCAAACTGAGATTCATTGGCCTTGGCTCATTTTCTGTGAGGGACAATAATCAGAAAAAAAAATCATTGACCCCCCCCCCCCCAGGCATCCCGCTCCTTCACATTTGTATTACATACAGGGTCTTCGGGTCCACTGGACCCAGGGCTAGTTAAAGTTTTGAAATCTTAGGTCCTGTGTACTCTCAATTTCCCTACATGTGTGTGGGTGGGTGTGGGTGTGTGTGCATACGTGCGTGTGTGCATGTGTGTGTGTGTGTGTGTGTGTGTGTGTGTGTGTGTTGGTTTTTGTGGTATATAAGGACTTTTGCCCTGAATACGCACCAGCATTATAAGGACATTTTGGTATTATGAGGACAGACCCCATGTCCTCATAATTCCAGCAATGTAGAAGGGGTTTTCTTTGTTTCAGAAGCATTCCCTCCAATTTTTAGGCCAAGTCCTTATATACCACAAAAACCAATTTCTATACAACACTGTGTATTCTACCAGATTGGTAGTCTGCCCCTGTAGCCTGGATACAGTACTGCAACTTCATAGATGGAAAAATATACAGAACTGACTAGTGTAAAATTCGGGCTATCTGATTGGCTATGGCACCAAAAGTAGCCACATTATTGGCCGATCATTGTAAAGTGGGCGGGGCTTCGCGGGACACGAGAAAGGGTGGGACTTCTGCTTGCGCGCCAGGTGAAGCAATCATGAGCCTTCAACACATGAGAAGCTGGTTTAGCGGCCTGTTTTTGAAGGTAAGATTTCAAATGCTGCAAAAGCATGTTTTTGACCCATCTTAGTTTCTGCGTGTTTTATGAGTTTTGTATAAGCTTTTTATTTCAAATTTGAAATAAAGTTTATTTTAAAAGTTTAAAGCAGAAAGCATTGATGGTAACTTCGGTAGCAACCGTGCTAACGGTGTGCTATCTTTAAATTGGATGACAAAAAAAATATTCTATTAGCCTAAATGCTACACATTGGGGCCTGTTAGCTCAGCTGGTTATAGCGTGTAGCTAATAACGCCAAGGGCATGGGTTCGATCCCCACATGGGCCAAAGTGTGTTTTGAAAATAGGGAACCTTTATCGTTTTGTTAATTATTTCTGTTGGCACATTTCCACATGTAACTATTTTCAGGCAAGAAAACCAACTTAAATATGGCCGAAGTAGCTCAGTTGGTAGAGTGTTAGAATGAAGATCTAAAGGTCCCTGGTTCAATCCTGGGTTTCGGCAAAGTAATTTCAGTTTCGAATTCTTTTAGAATGTTAAAAATGTTTTTCAGTTCTATTAGAATCTTAAGGAAACTTTTTGTCTTCTGAGTGAAACCTTTGGCATAACTTCTTCCTACTAGAGTTTCTCGGTTTGATTTAAATTTCCTTGGCCGTTATGGCTGTTTTTCCTTAAATTAGGGAAATGTTTAAATTCTTCGGGTTAAATTGGATGACATAAAAAAAAATTCTATTAGCCTAAATACTATGCTTTGGGGCCTGTTAGCTCAGCTGGTTAGAGCGTGGTGCTAATAACACCAAGATCGTGGGTTCGATTCCCACATGGGCCAAAGTGTTTTTTGAAAATAGGGAACCTTTGTCGGGTTGGAAATTATTTCTGTTGGGACATATCCAGATGTAACTATTTTCAGGAAAGAAAACCACCTTAAATATGGCAGAAATAGCTCAGTTGGGAGAGAGTTAGACTGAAGATCTAAAGGTCCCTGGTTTAATCCCAGGTTTTGGCAAAGTAATTTCAGTACCAAATTCTTTTAGAATGTTGAAAATGTTTATTTTTCAGTTCTATTAGAATCTTAGGGAAACTTTTTGTCTTCTGAGTCAAACCTTTGGGATAACTTCTTCCTACTAGAGTTTCTCGCTTTGATTTAAATTTCCTTGGCCGTTACGGCTGTTTTTCCTTAAATTAGGGAAATGTTTAAATTCTTCGGGTTAAATTGGATGACAAAAAAAAAAACAATTTTTTCTATTAGCCTAAATGTTACACATTGGGGCCTGTTAGCTCAGCTGGTTAGAGCGTGGTGGTAATAATGCCAACGTCGTGGGTTCGATCCCCACAGGGATCAAAGTGTTTTTTGAAAATAGGGAACCTTTATCTGTTTGGAAATTGTTTCTGTTGGGACATTTCCAGATGTAACTATTTTCAAGAAAACCACCTTAAATATGGCAGAAATAGCGCAGTTTGGAGAGCGTTAGACTGAAGATTTAAAGGTCCCTGGTTCAATCCCGGGTTTCGGCAAAGTATTTTCAGTACCAATTTCTTTTAGAATGTTGAAAATGTTTATTTTTCAGTTCAATTAGAATCTTAAGGAAACTTTTTGTCTTCTGAGTCAAACCTTTGGGATAACTTCTTCCTACTAGAGTTTCTCGCTTTGATTTAAATTTCCTTGGCCGTTACGGCTGTTTTTCCTTAAACTAGGGAAATGTTTAAATTCTTCGGGTTAAATTGGATGACAAAAAAACAATTTTTTCTATTAGCCTAAATGCTACACGTTAGGGCCTGTTAGCTCAGCTGGTTAGAGCGTGGTGCTAATAATGCCAACATCATGGCTTCGGTCCCCACAGGGGCCAAAGTGTTTTTTGAAAATAGGGAACCTTTATCGGTTTGGAAATTTTTCTGGTTCAATCCTGGGTTTCGGCAAAGTAATTTCAGTACCAAATTCTTTTAGAATGTTGAAAATGTTTATTTTTCAGTTCTATTAGAATCTTAAGGAAACTTTTTGTCTTCTGAGTGAAACCTTTGGGATAACTTCTCCCTACTAGAGTTTCTCGCTTTGATTTAAATTTCCTTGGCCGTTACGGCTGTTTTTCCTTAAACTAGGGAAATGTTTAAATTCTTCGGGTTAAATTGGATGACAAAAAAACAATTTTTTCTATTAGCCTAAATGCTACACGTTAGGGCCTGTTAGCTCAGCTGGTTAGAGCGTGGTGCTAATAATGCCAACATCATGGGTTCGGTCCCCACAGGGCCAAAGTGTTTTTTGAAAATAGGGAACCTTTATCGGTTTGGAAATTATTTCTGTTGGGACATTTCCAGATGTAACTATTTTCAGGCAATAAAACCACCTTAAATATAGCTGAAATAGCTCAGCTGGAAGAGCGTTAGACTGAAGATCCAAAGGTCCCTGGTTCAATCCTGGGTTTCGGCAAAGTAATTTCAGTACCAAATTCTTTTAGAATGTTGAAAATGTTTATTTTTCAGTTCTATTAGAATCTTAAGGAAACTTTTTGTCTTCTGAGTGAAACCTTTGGGATAACTTCTCCCTACTAGAGTTTCCCGCTTTGATTAAAATTTCCTTGGCCGTTACGGCTGTTTTTCCTTAAATTAGGGAAATGTTTAAATTCTTCGGGTTAAATTGAATGACAAAAAAAAATTTTTTTCTATTAGCCTAAATGCTACGCATTGTGGCCTGTTAGCTCAGCTGGTTAGAGCGTGGTGCTAATAACGCCAAGGTCGTGGGTTCGATCTCCACATGGGCCAAAGTGTTTTTTTGAAAATAGGGAACCTTTGTCGATTTGGAAATTATTTCTGTTGGGACATTTCCAGATTTAACTATTTTCAGGCAAGAAAACCATCTTAAAAAAGGCCGAAATAGCTCAGTTGGAAGAGCATTAGACTGAAGATCTAAAAGTCCCTGGTTCAATCCTGGGTTTCGGCAAAGTAATTTCAGTACCAATTTCTCTTAGAATGTTGAAAATGTTTATTTTTCAGTTCTATTAGAATCTTTAGGAAACTTTTTGTCTTCTGAGTGAAACCTTTGGGATAACTTCTTCCTACTAGAGTTTCTGGCTTTGATTTAAATTTCCTTGGCCGTTACGGCTGTTTTTCCTTAAATTAGGGAAATGTTTAAATTCTTCGGGTTAAATTGGATGACAAAAAAAAACAATTTTTTCTATTAGCCTAAATGCTACGCATTGTGGCCTGTTAGCTCAGCTGGTTAGAGCGTGGTGCTACTAACGCCAAGGTTGGGGTTCGATCTCCACATGGGCCAAAGTGTTTATTTGAAAATAGGGAACCTTTAACGGTTTGGAAGTTATTTCTGTTGGGACATTTCCAGATGTAACTATTTTCAGGCAAGAAAACCACCTTAAATATGGCTGAAATAGCTCAGTAGGGAGAGCGTTAGACTGAAGCTCTATAGGTCCCTGGTTCATTCCCAGGTTTCAGCAAAGTAATTTCAGTACTAATTTCTTTTAGAATGTTGAAAATGTTTATTTTTCAGTTCTATTAGAATCTTAAGGAAACTTTTTGTCTTTTGAGTGAAACTTTTGGGATAACTTCTTCCTACTAGAGTTTCTCGCTTTGATTTAAATTTCCTTGGCCGTTACGGCTGTTTTTCCTTAAATTAGGGAAATGTTTAAATTCTTCGGGTTAAATTGGATGACCAAAAAAAAAAATTTTTTCTATTAGCCTAAATGCTACACATTGGGGCCTGTTAGCTCAGCTGGTTAGAGCGTGGTGCTAATAATGCCAACGTCATGGGTTCGATCCCCACATGGGTCAAAGTGTTTTTTGAAAATAGGGAATCTTTATCGGTTATGAAATTATTTCTGTTGGGACATTTCCAGATGTAACTATTTTCAAGAAAACCACCTTAAATATGGCCGAAATAGCGCAGTTGGGAGAGCGTTAGACTGAAGGTTTAAAGGTCCCTGGTTCAATCCCGGGTTTCGGCAAAGTATTTTCAGTACCAATTTCTTTTAGAATGTTGAAAATGTTTATTTTTCAGTTCTATTAGAATCTTAAGGAAACTTTTTGTCTTCTGAGTCAAACCTTTGGGATAACTTCTTCCTACTAGAGTTTCTCGCTTTGATTTAAATTTCCTTGGCCGTTACGGCTGTTTTTCCTTAAACTAGGGAAATGTTTAAATTCTTCGGGTTAAATTGGATGACAAAAAAACAATTTTTTCTATTAGCCTAAATGCTACACGTTAGGGCCTGTTAGCTCAGCTGGTTAGAGTGTGGTGCTAATAATGCCAACATCATGGGTTCGGTCCCCACAGGGGCCAAAGTGTTTTTTGAAAATAGGGAACCTTTATCAGTTTGGAAATTATTTCTGTTGGGACATTTCCAGATGTAACTATTTTCAGGCAATAAAACCACCTTAAATATAGCTGAAATAGCTCAGCTGGAAGAGCGTTAGACTGAAGATCCAAAGGTCCCTGGTTCAATCCTGGGTTTCGGCAAAGTAATTTCAGTACCAAATTATTTTAGAATGTTGAAAATGTTTATTTTTCAGTTCTATTAGAATCTTAAGGAAACTTTTTGTCTTCTGAGTGAAACCTTTGGGATAACTTCTTCCTACTAGAGTTTCTCGCTTTGATTTAAATTTCCTTGGCCGTTATGGCTGTTTTTCCTTAAATTAGGGAAATGTTTAAATTCTTCGGGTTGTATTGGATGACAAAAAAAACAATTTTTTTCTATTAGCCTAAATGCTACACATTGGGGTCTGTTAGCTCAGCTGGTTAGAGCGTGGTGCTCAAAATTCCAAAGTCATGGGTTCGATCCCCACATGGGCCAAAGTGTTTTTTGAAAATAGGGAACCTTTATCGTTTTGGAAATTTTTTCTGTTGGGACATTTCCAGATGTAACTATTTTCAGGCAAGAAAATCAACTTAAATATGGCCGAAATAGCTCAGTTGGGAGAGCATTAGACTGAAGATCTAAAGGTCCCTGGTTCAATCCCGGGTTTCGGCAAAGTAATTTCAGTACCAAATTCTTTTAGAATGTTGAAAATGTTTATTTTTCAGTTCTATTAGAATCTTTAGGAATCTTTTTGTATTCTGAGTGAAACCTTTGGGATAACTTCTTCCTACTAGAGTTTCTCGCTTTGATTTAAGTTTCCTTGGCCGTTACGGCTGTTTTTCCTTAAATTAGGGAAATGTTTAAATTCTTCGGGTTAAATTGGATGACAAAAAAAATATTTTTTTTTTATTAGCCTAAATGCTAGGCTTTGGGGCCTGTTAGCTCAGCTGGTTAAAGTGTGATGCTAATGACGCTGAAGTCGTGGGTTCGATCCCCACATGGGCCAAAGTGTTTTTTGAAAATAGGGAACCTTTATCGTTTTGTTAATTATTTCTGTTGGGACATTTCCACATGTAACTATTTTCAGGCAAGAAAATCAACTTAAATATGGCGGAAATAGCTCAGTTGGGAGAGCGTTAGACTGAATATCTAAAGGTCCCTGGTTCAATCCTGGGTTTCGGCAAAGTAATTTCAGTACCAAATTCTTTTAGAATGTTAAAAATGTTTATTTTTCAGTTCTATTAGAATCTTAAGGAAACTTTTTGTCTTCTGAGTGAAACCTTTGGGATAACTTCTTCCTACTAGAGTTTCTCGCTTTGATTTAAATTTCCTTGGCCGTTACGGCTGTTTTTCCTTAAATTAGGGAAATGTTTAAATTCTTCGGGTTAAATTGGATGACAAAAAAAATATTTTTTTTTTCATTAGCCTAAATACTAGGCTTTGGGGCCTGTTAGCTCAGCTGGTTAAAGTGTGATGCTAATGACGCTGAAGTCGTGGGTTCGATCCCCACATAGGCCAAAGTGTTTTTTGAAAATAGGGAACCTTTATCGTTTTGTTAATTATTTCTGTTGGGACATTTCCACATGTAACTATTTTCAAGCAAGAAAATCAACTTAAATATGGCCGAAATAGCTCAGTTGGGAGAGCGTTAGACTGAAGATCTAAAGGTCCCTGGTTTAATCCTGGGTTTCGGCAAAGTAATTTCAGTACCAATTTCTTTCAGAATGTTGAAAATGTTTATTTTTCAGTTCTATTAGAATCTTAAGGAAACTTTTTGTCTTCTGAGTGAAAACTTTGGGATAACTTCTTTCTACTAGAGTTTCTCGCTTTGATTTAAGTTTCCTTGGCCGTTACGGCTGTTTTTCCTTAAATTAGGGAAATGTTTAAATTCTTCGGGTTAAATTGGATGACAAAAAAAATATTTTTTTTTATTAGCCTAAATGCTAGGCTTTGGGGCCTGTTAGCTCAGCTGGTTAGAGTGTGATGCTAATGACGCTGAAGTCGTGGTTCGATCCCCACATGGGCCAAAGTGTTTTTTGAAAATAGGGAACCTTTATCGTTTTGTTAATTATTTCTGTTGGGACATTTCCACATGTAACTATTTTCAGGCAAGAAAATCAACTTAAACATGGCCGAAATAGCTCAGTTGGGAGAGCCTTAGACTGAAGAACTAAAGGTCCCTGGTTCAATCCTGGGTTTTGGCAAAGTAATTTCAGTACCAATTTCTTTTAGAATGTTGAAAATGTTTATTTTTCAGTTCTATTAGAATCTTAAGGAAACTTTTTGTCTTCTGAGTGAAAATTTTGGGATAACTTCTTCCTACTAGAGTTTCTCGCTTTGATTTAAATTTCCTTGGCCGTTACGGCTGTTTTTCCTTAACTTAGGGAAATTTTTAAAATCTTCGGGTTAAATTGGATGACATAAAAAAAAATTTCTATTAGCCTAAATACTACACATTGGGGCCTGTTAGATCAGCTGGTTAGAAGGTGGTGCTAATAACGCCAAGGTCGTGGTTTCGATCCCCACATGGGCTAAAGTGTTTTTTGAAAATAGGGAACCTTTATCGTTTTGTTAATTATTTCTGTTGGGACATTTCCACATGTAACTATTTTCAGGCAAGAAAATCAACTTAAATATGGCCGAAATAGCTCAGTTGGGAGAGCATTAGACTGAAGATCTAAAGGTCCCTGGTTCAATCCCGGATTTCGGCAAAGTAATTTCAGTACCAATTTCTTTTAGAATGTTGAAAATGTTTATTTTTCAGTTCTATTAGAATCTTAAGGAAACTTTTTGTCTTCTGAGTGAAACCTTTGGGATAACTTCTTCCTACTAGAGTTTCTCGCTTTGATTTAAATTTCCTTGGCCGTTACGGCTGTTTTTCCTTAAATTAGGAAATGTTTAAAATCTTCGGGTTAAATTGGATGACAAAAAAAAACAAATTTTTCTATTAGCCTAAATGCTATACATTGGGGCCTGTTAGCTCAGCTGGTTAGAGCGTGGTGCTAATAACGCCAAGGTTGTGGGATCGATCCCCACATGGGCCAAAGTGTTTTTTAAAAATAGGGAACCTTTATCATTTTGTTAATTATTTCTGTTGGGACATTTACACATGTAACTATTTTGAGGCGAGAAAATCAACTTCAATGTGGCCGAAATTGCTCAGTTGGGAGAGTTTTTGACTGCAGATCTAAAGGTCCCTGGTTCAATCCCGGGTTTCGGCAAAGTAATTTCAGTACCAATTTCTTTTAGAATGTTGAAAATGTTTATTTTTCAGTTCTTTTAGAATCTTAAGGAAACTTTTTGTCTTCTGAGTGAAAACTTTGGGATAACTTCTTCCTACTAGAGTTTCTCGCTTTGATTTAAATTTCCTTGGCCGTTATGGCTGTTTTTCCTTAAATTAGGGAAATGTTTAA